TGACATTTTTATGACATACAACTCACTGGTGTTTTCCTGAATCTATTTTAGGACGAATCACAATAAATAATAGTATTGCTATTTCATATTAAATTGTCAATTTATTATAATTCCGCAGCCTTGTTCTCGAAAACTTAAATAATATAAAATCCAGATTTTAATAAATGCAGTAATCTGATCGGAGGATAAAACAAAATTTTAGTGGTTGACCAATCAGTTGATTGCATCTTCAGTATTCCAGGATAAAACGTTTCAGAACATCTCAGAATTCTCTCTATGACATGACACAAACTCCGCCATCGTCCTAACGCTAATTCACTTAGACTTTATTCATTTGCACGCCGACAAGCGTGTCATTGTGCAGACAGACAGACATCGTACAGTGTGACTTCATCTGATACTCACTGGTCAAAATGTCAGACAGCAAGAGCCATAACAAACGATGAAAGGAACAAAACAATCAGTTATATTGATATTGATATTGTTACCAGCTTATACGTTAAAAAGATAACAAAATCGTTTTTTAATAAACGTCATACCTTCTAAAAGATTTTATCAAAGATTCCAGATATAAAAAGGAAACTATCGCTTTTCAAAGAGGAGTGAGGTAAGAAAAATCACCCTTTCGGAACACCTTGTACCAGTCTGCGATTTTTAAATGTCTTAGACAACTTAGAAGTATGTACTTCAAAAAGGATCAATGAAAATTTTCTACTGTGTAGTCAAAGAAAAATGTCAGTGAAAACCTGCTCATGTTGAGGGGGCTTTAACACAAAAAAGTTTTTTAAAAAATTCAACACGTGTGTACAGATTATGTGAAATATTTTCACGAACGACAATCAGCTGTTGATGTGGGATTAATAAACAAATAAAATATTTTTCTGAACAAACAACTGTATTATGGTCGATTAGGTCTATCACGGTCAATTTACAGCTAGTGACAATCCTTATTCGATATCTGACACCTGGATGGCCTTAGTACATGGTGTGGTAGGATTCTAGATAGGAAACCAGAAGTAAGACTTCATGACTTCACCAAATCTACACTAAAGCATATACTGCAGGTGCCCTCATACCGTAGCGATTACCAGTTGCGTATGGTTGCGAATAATGAAAGTGGCTATGACTTCAAAACGCAACTCTCAATTAATGACAATTATTCTTATTTGCAACCAAACGCAACTGTAGTCGTCCGATTGTTTAGCTCGCACGCAAATGTTTCGTCGACCATATTCCATTTACCAATAAAATATTTAAATGAAATGATTACGTCCTACTTTTTTGAATTAAATATCTAAAGAAATTACACATCATCTTTCTACACCTGTACAACATGAATGCACTCAAGCAAGAATTTCAATATCAAATGGCCATATTGTCCAGTAAAACGTAATGTAAATTAGACCATATTAAAGTGGATGTATGCGCCAATTTATTTGGTATATCTTAAGAATAATCCAAAGAAAAGAAAATGACCTATGAATGTGCATGGCCTATACCACCTTCACAATGTCAAGGTATCCCTAACTTCATCTTATACATAGACTTTTTTACCTTTCTTGATTGGCTTGTACGCTAGTTAATACAGCAAATCAGAGCTCTCGACAGACCATCTGTAAATATTAGCCATAATGTTTACAGCCTTTCAGTGCATTATCTGGCGCACAATCCAATCAAATCGCTGCATTCAGTGATACAAGAACTGTGGCTATTGAAGTCAAGGCATAAGATAAAGATACCATGACCATTGTAAAAATGGATCTATACACACCCACGAGCAGAATAGTAGGAAGTAAAATTCCATTTCATTTTATTTCCAATTAAATATCTAAATGAAATAACTGAGTATAAAAGCAGGATTGATATAAAGTAAGTGAGAATTACTGTATCAATATTATTATTAATTACAACTCAGCGTCAGTGTTTGTTTATCACAATTTTATCTCTTGATTAGTTACAAACTAGTTATTATTCAAATTACATTCTGATATTAGTTAGCAGAAAGTAGATATTAGCAAGTTGGATTGTCCTTGATCCCCCGATTTCCCCTTGTCAGTGATACAGATCAGAGGGGCTGAAAATAGATATTGCTCAAATTACATTGTGATATTAGATAGTAACAAGTTGGATTGTCCTTGATTCCGACTAGAAGCAGTTCCGCCATGACTGCTTTCGAGAAACGGATCTCAGAAATATCAAGGTTAGAAACTATATAATACTCATATTAAATTCTGAAATTACTTAGTAACAAGTGTGTCCTTACTTCAAATACCTCGAATCATGCTCACAGCACTGCTACCACCTTTTCCTTTGAGTATAATTTAGCAAACCAATTTGTATTGAAAGATGCTAGATATCTTGTGTTTGACTTCCTCTGAGCGCACTCTTCGAAATACCACATCATGTTTCTAATAGTCGATCGGTGTTGCAGATATCGCCCACATATAGCTATGTTTCTCCCTAACTAATCATAAACTATGCTTAAGTACATGAATTTCGTGTACTTACATTTTTAATATTTTGTTTATTCTTAAATCGATGCAGATCCTATACCTAAACTTCAAATAGTATTGCGTTGCGTCTTTCCTTTCCTGTTTCTTAACATCAACACAGGGTATATATTGCGCTATTTCCGAGTAGAGATTTGTCAGGATATTACTGCAAGCTCGATGCTCGTGATATGCCAGAAATATTGGTTTCATGTCTAGGAGATCACATCTTAAAGACCATCACAGATTGAGACAACGAGTTTGATTGGAATAAAACTTAAAATGTTTGCAATATAACAATTTTAATGGCTGATCGCAATTCATATCAACAGCAAAAAACGGTGTCTTGGATTTGCACTTATTGGTCTGACATTATACATTGATGGAACCAGGAGCCTGTCGGCGAAATATTCCTAACAAAGGTTGTTCATTTGAGAATTCTTGGTATCATGTATTTAAGATCATCTTTAAGTTAAGATATTCTGACATCAGACTCAAAAAATCTTTTTTTTGGTTATTCATTGCTTGGGTATTTCAGTTATTTTCCTGATTAAGAAACCGAAATTAAAACCGTCTGAAAATCGAGCCATGCCTCAACAAGGAATTATAAGTGCAAAACCAAGAAGACATTACAATGAAGATGTTTGGCACCAACGTCAATCAAACCAAATTCCAAATAGAATATTGCCAAGGAAACACAAGTCCGTCTTACTGACAAATTTAAATTTAATTATTATTTCGTTTCATGTTTCTTACACATTCAATGACTTTGAAAAAAAAAACGAAACGAAACGAAACAAAACAATTAATTAAAAAACGGCAATCAATTTAAATCAAACAAGATCAATCCATCAATTTAGTTTTGAATCAAAAAGATCACATCAACTTCTAAGTTAAAACCAATATAATGTCAAGTTTGAAACCCGATATGGTGCCAAACACCACCACTCAAGAAAAGGTAAAAAAATGACTTAATTCATTCACTCTCTAGAAGATAAATAAGTTAGCGTACTATGGCTGGATATAGCGTAACACTGGCCACCCATTGTCGGTCTTTTCTACAGCTTTGCACACTCAGAAACTTTGTCTCTTTCAATGGCGCTTATTTGTATGTAGAAACAAGCTCCGTTGTTATCAAACGACTTGCAAAAATCTATGCAAAAAGAATGAAGAAATTCAAGAACCTTTTTCGTGCCTTGATCACAAAGGTAGGTAATTGCTTTTAAGATCACGAAATTGTTAAAGGTTTTTTCTGAATTGGAAAAACATTGCTGGCCGACATCTGTTAACAAAACACAATATGTGGCCTGTTACTCTGTACCCAGTCTAGAAGCATACATACATTATAATGATAATATCCGTTGCAAAATCAGGAACACGAGAAACTACATGAGCTTTATATCAAATAAACTAATTTACTTTAAGTTAAATCTACTTGATCTTTGAAGGGTAGTCCGAGTCTAAGTAACCCTTGATTAAGTTTGCCGATATTCCCGTCACAAGAAAAGAACTTCATTATGGAATTTGACCAATTAGCCATCGCTGATATATTTTTCAACGAATCTGATTGATCAGAATCGGTCGTCTGTTAGATCCTAACGCCCAAACTATCCCTGAAATATCGGGGTGTGTGATGTAGGCTTACACAAGAGGTATAGTATACAGACGATGCTTTACCAGCTGATAAATCTCAAATTTCATCTACCCACAATTTTCAATGAGTAAAAACCGCCTGATTTCAAAGTGGTATTGGTAGCTGAAATTGAACTATATCAACTGATAAAGCAAAAATTAAGACGTCTGTATCCATTACACTTCGCTGATATTAGCAACCATAACTATCAAAGGATGCAAGAGATACGACAAATTCTGCTTACGTTTAAAGGGATATAACCATCTAAATATTCACAAAATATGTATCATAATTTTGTTATTATCATCAAATTACCTAATACAGAAAAGTAGGACGTAAAACTCCATTTATTTCATTTCATTTCATTTCGTCAAATTATCTATAAAAAATTCGAAGAGTATATCCCTTTAATTCCACCATTTTTACTGAGAAAATCTAAAGCATACATGGTCTTGGGCGTTCAAAATCAGTCCAACTTAAATACATGGAGGACATTCTTGTGTAAGCCTACCATAAGAGTAAAAAAAGAGTGGTTTTTTGGAAGAGCCGCTAGAAAATTGGAAGATACATTCGTCCTTATTGACACTCTTAAATAGATAAACGTTTTAAATAGAATGCCTGAAGCCACACTTTTAACATTCATTCGTAGTCATAATATCGCAGACAGTTTGCAAACACAGAGACCTTTGAGATGAGATAGAACCAAGCAATCTTCACAGAGACGTGATTTTTTCCGTAAATAATCGCTCTCGGCTGTTCCTTCTATGGTTCGCACCATTTTCCACTAAAGGAGGCGCATATTCCGATTTGTTTATCTTTTTGACAGGTGCGCGGAAACTGTAAGTAGGAGCAGAGTTCTCCAGAACACATTTAGGCAAAATAATTTTACGAAAGGCTTCACGAAATTCTGAGTTAAAAATGCTGTAAATGATGGGATTTAAAGATGAATTGACGTACCCTAACCACGTTAAAATCTTGAACACTAAGGGTTGTATACACGAAGCACAGAATGCAGCGATTAAATTCACAGTAAAAAACGGCAACCAACATAATAAAAACACTCCCATAATAATCCCTAATGTAACGGCAGCTTTATGATCCGAAACTTTAGACGAAACTTTCTTATCCGTTCCGTTCACGTTGAAACGTTCCGCCGTATGCGTCCGTTTAATACTTTCTACGTGTTTGCGAGCGTATAAATACAAGCGACAGTATATTGATATCATTACGATACAGGGTATATAGAAACTGATCGTCGAGGAAACGACTGCATATATAGGATTTAATTCAAAAATACACATGTCTTCGTTTGTCTGGGGGCCAGCCCCTTCACCGGGATCTTGGTGCCACCCCAAATGAATGGGCACGAAAGATATGAGTAGGGATAGAACCCAAACTAAAGAAATAAATAACATAGTTCTCCTACCCGTCATCCAACTTTCATAGCGTAGTGGGTCCTTTATATGTATAAACCTATCCAAACTAATAGCACACAGGTTTAATATGGACGCCGTCGAGCACATAATATCCGCGGATATCCAAATCTTACAAAATACTGCTCCAAATTCCCAAGTACCTTGAATATCATTAGCTAATGCGAAGGTCATCACCAGAACGGCGACGAGTAAATCAGCAATAGCTAAAGACACTATGAATAAATTGGAATTCCTTTTTAATTTCCGATCAGTGAACACAGCCACACAGACGAGAATATTTCCAGATATAGAGATAAAAATCAGAGAAGCCAGGATGACTCCAATTCCCACTTTTTCAGTCAGATTGAAATTCTCGGTTGAGATTTTTTCCGAATTGTTTCCTGGAAAACTTTGTCCGCTTGTATCATGAGGCGAAATGCTGTAAGTTGGAACTGTCCAGTTGGACGCCATCCTTACAGTAATATCGGGAGTAAGCAATCCCTGCCACATCTAAACACATCTGAGCATTGATATCAAGCGATGGTTCCATACCCCATTCGACCGGCCTCACTACCATAGGATAAACTGGCTCAATTGAAACTACCGCCACTAAACGCTTCCAATAATCTGTGATAAATACTTGAGCGGCGAACAGTGCTTGGTGTTTCAGATCGATCTCACGTACTGCCAGACGAGTTATGTTTCTAACAAGTAGTTTCCTTTCCACTTGTCCATTCAATCATCGAGCTATAAGAATGAGACTTTTAAAGTGTTCGATAAGTTAGAAAACTTGTAATCATTCAATAATTAAAGAGATTTTTTAAGTGTTCGATAAGTTACAATACTCGTAATCACTCAATAATTTAAATACATTTTTAACTTCTAAACCTTTTGATTTTTCAAGTGAAGACTTATTGCGACGATCGCTTAGAGTTAAACTGATAACTTTCTGATTCTTCTAACTGATAATATCTTAGTTCACTAGATGGTGATAGTGTAATTTATTGAAACGTTGTTTAATTCCAGAGCAAATACAGATAAAAGTTGTTACTTTTGGTTTATATTGATCCAATATCATTAGATCCCGAAACAAGGAGGAGTTTTACACCCCACTCATTTGCATCTTATTGGATAACGAAATGGCCCAAGAGACTAAATATGCTTTTCGGAAAGTAACTTCTTCACTTTTCATGAATAATGTAATTTCCAGTAACGTTTCGAACACAGGTACTGTAACGTATCACAACGTTATCTGTAGCGTAGCTGTAACGTAACTAAAAAAAATGTTACTTTCCAATAACGTAACGTAGTGTAGTTTTAAACGTAACTGTAATGGCTTATGTCACTGCAACTGCTCGATGACTGGCTCGTCAAAAACATCGCCTTTTTTCCAAACAATGTATATTATTTCTTAGACCAGTCTTACTCCACATAAATGTTTTACTTCAAATAAATTCAAAGTGTGATCTTTTAATTTCTAAAACCGTTATTTTATTGGATTTTCTTTAACTTTCACAAACTGCAAGGTTTTCTATTTCATTACTTCAAGTTTTATTCTGTCTAGCAAGCACTTAAGAGTTTTAAATTAAACATACATAAAGCTGCACATTGTTTCAGTGTCAATATCCTTCATTTCCCAATTACAGCTACTTTACAGTCGCTTTAAAACAGATAGGCTTTTCAGATTCCACACCGATGTGCCTTATTCCAAACTTTATTCACTCAACTTCGAAACTTTTGCAAACTGTTCGTTTCCGAATCACTTCTCTGGCCATTAAAGTCATTAATTTTTCACTAAGTTAAAAGGTTTCAAAAGTTCCTTAAAAGTGACGTCTGAAGATGTTCACAAAATCACTTAATATAGTACTTCAGTCCTATCCGTCACATCGTATCTCGTCACTGATAGTAAGTTATATTAGTAGTATGAAAGTGTGAGAAGTAGCTGTGAACAACTTCAATGGAGAAATAACACAGTTGAATCTATAACTGACTCTATATATTACTAATATCAATCAATCTGGCCATTCAGCGACAGCGAGAGAGAGGGAGGGCGTTCGACAGGTGCTTTATACTAGTTTATTAAAGGTAGACTATTCTTCATAGCTATTCATATACAACATTTCTTCACCACTCGTTAAGATGCCCTCACAAAGATATGAATGGACAATGTAAGGTGTCCGATGTGGTGTACGGTGTCGAATTATCGTTACAGAAGAAAGAAGGAGAAGAATATCATGGCCGCATCGTTGCAGGACACATAAGCCAAGTATCTGCTTCTTGTGTCTACACCTACACCACAACGGACGTCCTATCTCGACTATTGTCAACCAAAATCAAACGGTTTCAACATATTGTATTGGCATGCTGTAACAGGATCACTTTCATTTGCTCGACAATGAAGCAGATGGTGACATATGAATATCTTTGAATTCGAAGAGACCGAAGCAGCATATATCTTGGCCAATTAATCAATGTTTGGGTGTGTCCAAGGAGCTTTAATGCACCATTGGAATTCCTCTTGAGTACTTGACATGTTCTACCTCTATCACATCTATCTTAAACGTGCTTCTGAGTCTATCTCATCCATCTTAAACGTGATTGAAACTAAATTGTAGGTAGAACTCACCTGTTCTGCATGTTTTTTATATCAAATGATCTTACGAGAGGTGGTAGGTGCAGTTGTAATGAATTCTTATCAAGAAGTCGAGAGGTGCAGAGATTTACGAATCAGATAGATACATTGATTTCAGATTGGTATGCAGCATTATCTTCATGAAAGAGAACACAGAAACACTTTGTTTCGTGTCTTCGTGTAAGAAAGGGAAACTCCAAGAATAATCCAACCTACGCCCATGGTCCATTAAGGCGAACCTATCTATATCCCAGGAGCTCCAGCAGCATCAAATTAAAACAGATTGGCCGTGGCTCACTGGGTTTGTTCGTATGTTCAGGGCTCATTCCTAACATAGGTAAACATATACCTGACTTTTATATCTAGTTTGTAAGTGTTGCAGTTTGAAGAGCTGACATAGAAAAGTGTAGTCGTTTGGATCGACATTAAACATCATATGATACAGCCTGTGTACGTTAAAGATCCCTCCTTGACGGTTGGAATAGCAAACAAAATCACATCATATCAGCTGTAGCGTGGTGTGGGTAGTACTTTTAAAACAGAGACAATAGGGTTATTTTATTAAATCAAAAAGTCGTAAAGCAAGCTGTTAAACTTTACAACTAAATATAGGAAAAAACTATTGAAAATGTAATTAGTTGTAATATAGTTCTATATTTAATATAGTGAATTAATTCTATTTCAATACAGAAGTTTACTGACTTACTGAGAGGTCACTAGGTTGTTTGACCTTGAGAATACCCATAAAAGCGTGGTTTAATTCAGCTACAACTCGACTACAGCTGTCATAAATATTAAATATGGAATAAGCATAGCTTTATAGCATCTGTCAGCTTTGTGTAGTTCCACAGAGCATTGCATTGACCAACCCAGTTGCATAGTATCATAAAGTGTTTGTAAAAGAAATAACATGTCCTACAAATCATATCAAATCACTACACCAATGCAGAATACATTAATGAGATTTCTAGTAAACTTTAACAAGTTGTCATTTAAATCGGCTAGATGATAAAGAATACCAAAAGTCCTAGCATTGTAAGCTTTTTTGGCCCTTCTGAGGGATGTGTACGTGAGAAATTATGTCTTGGATCGACGTCTAGTAGTCCAGAGAGTTAGTAATCCAACACAATGTTAAAGAGATTGTAAAGAGGTTTTTTCTAACATTTTTATGAGTATAAGGGACACCTTCTATTTGGGAAATCATTCAAATTCTTCATCCGATAAGCGTGGTTCCAGCAACTTCAGAGAGAGTTAACTGGAAATGATGCAATGTCTTTGTATGTTATTATGTACTTCAACACTTCGATAAGTAAAAGCGTACGCGAATTATTGTTGGTATCCTGGGATTTCCCCATTGTACACTGCATGATGTTACGCTTAAATATAAGTCTAAACGATACAAAACAGTTGGAAATCAAGCGATGTTATCAGACCCCCTCGTTGAATCGTGTTGTGTTCTGTCACAAGGACATAAATTATGAGATATTCTAAAAACCTTATTCTTAGGCAACGGGAGAGATAATGGTTGTCTTATTCGGCTTCAATTTTAGTAGTTTTATCAGAAGGTAATTATCCTAGTGGAAGCAATCACAATAATATTGGTACACTATTACACAATTAGCTAATATCTACTTCTTCTACTAGTTACTTGGAATGTCCATCACGGAATGGTTGGTCAATCTATAAAGCTGCTGGAGGTAATGGTCTACTTATTACAATGGACAGCGTGGCTGTTGGTACTAAACGCGCTGAGATTAAAGTGTGTTACGAGGTCGCGAATTGTTTAGTGCCACTACTCTCATATCTGAAGCCTGAAAACCAAGCCATAGGCACCATTTTGTTGTTTTTGTCGCCTATGTTGACATCTCACAAAAGAAATTTGTCGTTGTAAAAAAATATGATTCATCTGTCAGTCCTGACGCATGTTACTCGAAACGTACCATGGTCTCGCCAAAGATTTGGAGTGGGAAGGGCTTTAGATACCAGCCATGTTTCTCGTGCTTAGATAATTGGTAAGACTTTGAAGCAATCATTGAAAGTAATAAGCCGTAAATTAGGTAGGCAGAAGAAGCAGGAATCAACACAAAAAAACATGTTAGATCTGTTCAAATTAGGGATTGTAACCATATTATTATCATCCTCGGTTTCAGCCTCAGTATTATTTTGACGCGTTGACAAGTCTTAGTGTATGTGTGTCTTTCAGTCTATGACCTGTATCTGTCAGAATTTTTATTGAATTTTAAGATAAGTATATTGATGTATTGATGACACATATGAACAGGTGAGAATATCAACTGTATATTTATATTTATATACACTCTCTATTTATTGTTATATATACTAGACATTTTTTAATATACTCTATGTTTATTGCTGGTTGTTTATTACAATTTTTTTTATTATATTTTACTTTTTACTTTTATGGCGCCAATTTTTTCCGGTTTTTATTAGATTTGATTGGGAAACAATATAGCAAAATAACAATTTTTGATCAATTTTTGAATTGGAGATGTACGCGAATTCAGAATAACTTTATCTCTGAAAAGCCTACCCCAATGATAAACTCAATAGCAGAATGGCATCTGGTGTTAGTCAAATCTGTTTAATAAGATATGCGAACTCGCTGAAATAAGATATTTCGCTCCGAAAATAGACGCAGAAAGAAATCGGGTATTTTTTTAGGACGATCATGAACCGATTCTCTCGTAACACCAGCCACACTAATTCAATATATTGAATAACG